GATAAAAGACCACAATGCTTGTTTTAACTCGGAGAGAGTAGTAGTCATTTCAGACAAAAGGTTGTGGTTCTATCGCTTTGGCACTTGAGCTCATCTTGCTATTTGTTAGTATGTATCATAAAGTCTTGATAAGACGGCTTCGGATGATCTTGAGGTTCACTTACTAGTGTTCTAGCAAACCAACAAGTTCTATTTCTATATGTAACCTATTTCATCACCTTTAGGCATGATATATGCATAGGCGTCATTGTGTAAGCACTCTGAAATGAAAAAGAAGCAAGATACTTAATAAAAACATCATAAATAATACTGAAATGAAGAGCGAGGTGTGTGATGTGGAAGCCGTGAATGTGGTTGCCTTCTTTGGTAGTAAGCACCCGAGAAAATCGATCGGCTAGCCAAAAGGTGAGGTTGATTCGAATGCGTCGACACTACACCTATACCATCCTTCCTACCAAGCAAATTATAGGCAATGAAATTATGCATGGGCTGTAAAAGAGAAATTTTTAACTCAAAAGAATGAGCATCTCGTGCATTATAAAACCTGGAATAAGGGAAAAAATTGTGCCATATGTCATAAGAATCACTAGTAAAGGGTTCCACATAATCACAAAGACAACGGGAATAGTCAACACTTTGAGAATCAAATGCATGAACAACTCCTAATGCTACAACAAATTCAATCAAGGAATGATGAGAAGTTTTGTTCTTAGCAAACCAAAATGGATGGTCTTAGGAGTAAAAAGATCAAATGTATCGGGTAAAGTAAAACAAAATGTTGAATAAAATTTTTATGGCAATTCAGTGGTTGTTGGTGCATTTAGAGTAGTAAACAAACTCCAATCAATGTTAGATAGTGTTGGGATTGTGCCTCAAATTCTCTTCAAGGCAAGATTTTCAGAAGTTTCCGGCAGCCTTAGTCATGGGCATGACTAGGCGGACTTTCCTATTCTGGAGTTGATTTTATATATCTTGCCAAATCAGAAGATTTCGGAGGCTTTAATCATGGGCGTAACCAAGATGGCAAGGTTGAATTGGCACCAAATCAGTAGAGTCATGGACGTGATCAATGAGTGATTTCCTAAGATTTCATATCTCCATCCTTCCATATATTGGTGATTTCTATCGATTTGATTTACCTTCCATGTTAGAAGGTCAAAACTTCCCATTTTGCATAGATATAGATAAGGGGACGTTTTTGGAGGTTGAGAGAGGTTAATCATTTGATTTGTAACATTTAAAATATTCGATTCATCTAGTGGATTCCTCATCGTCGGTGGTTTTTTCTCGTTTTGGGTTTTCCACGTAAATTTTGTGTTCTTTTCGTATTTCGCAATATTGTGTTTGTGCTTCAATTGTATTTCGATCCGCGTCCGCAATTCCATCGCACCTTTAGGTGCTTAAATCCCTAACAAGTGGTATCAGAGCATTCAACGGTTGAAGATGTCGATCGCAAAATTCGAAATTGAGAAGTTCGATGGCAAGATTTCGTTTGCTATTTGGAAAATTCAGATGCGGGCGATTTTAGTTCAGAACGGATTGAAGAAGGCATTGGATGGACAAGAGAGTGCAGGGGTGAGTGACGATGCTTGGGCTGAATCGGATGAGAAGGCATTGACTGCAATACAACTTATGTTATCGAAAGAAGTCCTGCGTGAGGTTGCTATTTGGAAAATTCAGATGCGGGCGATTTTAGTTCAGAACGGATTGAAGAAGGCATTGGATGGACAAGAGAGTGCAGGGGTGAGTGACGATGCTTGGGCTGAATCGGATGAGAAGGCATTGACTGCAATACAACTTATTTTATCGAAAGAAGTCCTGCGTGAGGTTGCTCACGAGACCACCACACGAGGGCTGTGGTTGAGGCTAGAGACGCAATATATGACGAAGTCTCTCGCTAACAAACTTCGTTTGAAGGAACGCCGTTATACAATTCGAATGCCCGAAGGTACTTCGATCCAATCTCATCTCAATGAATTTAATACAATCCTCATGGATTTGAAAATTTTGGATGTTACAATTGATGATGAAGATAAAACCGTGTTGTTAATTTTCTCGTTACCTCCTTTCTACAAGCATTTTCGAGAAATAATGCTTTATGGTTCTCAAGAAACTCTTCGATTTGATGAAGTTAAATCAAATTTGTTGTCGAAAGAAAAATTTGATTTTGGTGGCCAATCAAATGACAACGATGAAGGTTCGATTGTGAGGGGAAGGTCTATGTTAAAAGTTAATGGAGGCAAGAAAAACTCTCGGTCTAAGTCGAGGGGATCGAACGCGCATAACAGTTGCAATTATTGCAAGAAGTATGGCCATGTTATTTCCGATTGCTGGAAGTTGAAAAATAAGAATGAAAGGTTCGATAAAAGAAAGAAACCTGTAGAGGCAGCACAAGCTGATGTCGTGCACTCCGATTCAGACGGCGATCCAGTTTTGACACCGGCATCGGAAACTCGCGTTAAGAACGAGTGGATTTTGCTCCGGATGCACATTCCATCTCTGTCCCAATCGGGACTGGTTTACAACATTCGAATCAAAGAATGGTGGTGTAGTATTGATGGGGAATGATGCCCAATGCTCTGTCCTTGGCATTGGTTCAGTTCAAATAAAGACTCACGACGGTTGCGTTCGTCTCTTACGAATGTCGATACGCTCCTGATGTCAAAAGGAATTTGATATCTCTTGGAACTTTGGACTCGCTTGGTTATAAGTTCTCGGCTACAGGTGGAGTTTTGAAGGTTTCTACAAGATCTAGAAAAATTATGAAGGCGAATCGGGTTGGATGTTTATATGTCCTACAAGGTCATACCGTATCGGGTTTGGCGGCAGCGGCTTCATCGATGAATGATTCAGATTTCACTCGATTATGCCATTTTCCTTTGGGCCATTTGAGTGAAAAAGGAATGAAGATGTTAAGCTCTCGAGGTCTTCTTGGTGATCAAGGAATCACAAATTTAGAATTTTGTGAACACTGCATTTTCGGAAAGCAAAAGAAGGTCGGTTTCTCCATTGCTTCTCATCGTACACATGGCGTGCTTGATTATATTCACTCCGACTTGTGGGGACCGTCGAAGGTTCCATCATTTACTGGGAAAAGATACCTTATGACATTGATTGATGATTTTTCCCAGAAAATTTGGGTCTATTTCTTGAGGCGGAACGATGAAGCTTTTGACACTTTTTCAAGAAGTGGAAAGCCATTGTGAAGAATCTTACGGGTAAGAAAATAAAATTTCTTAGAACTGACCGTGGCTTATAATTTTACAGTGGTGAATTCAATGCATTTTGTGCATTGCATGGTATTATGAGGCATAAGACCTTGCCGAGAAAGCCCCAACAAAATGGGGTCGCAGAACGAGTCAATCGGACTTTATTGGAGAGAGCTCGGTGTATGCTTTCGAATGCATGATTATGGAATCGGAGTGATTTGTGGGCTGAAGCTGTTTCGACGTCGTGCTATTTGGTAAATCGATCTCCACACTCCGCTATTAACTTTAAAATCCCTAATTTTTAGAACCATATATTTTAGTTTAAATTTTGAAATTTTATATTTTTTTTACTTATTATGTATATTATTTATTATTTTTTTTAATGGAGGTAGCAAGGTACACAAAAAAAAAATTGCAATCAAACAAAACGGAGGAAAATTCATCAGGTGGTGTTGTTATTTTATTTTTTTTTATATTTATAAATATTTTTAAAATGCCATCTTAAAAACATTTATCGTGAAGTGAAGAAAACAAAAACAAGAACAATTAATAAAATCACAAAAAATGAGCTTTAGATAAAGTTTTCAATAATAATATAGATCATTCTACAAGTTTTGATAAATTAAATGATAATTGTATTGAACATTCTAAATCTATTGAATATTTAAATAGCGAAAATATTGCCGATAGTAATATTATCAATAATAATAATAAGAATAATAGTAGTAGTAATAATAATAATAATAATAATGAAATAGAATTAGAAATTGATAGTGATATTTTTTATTTAGATATTTATGATCCTAAAAATTGGGATAATGTTGATAGTATACAAAAAAAAAAAATATTTTAATTAAAATTGACCTAGAAGAGAAATAGATCTTACTTTTCCATTAGATAAGACTTGGAAACATTTTTCATATGTCTATTACTCTAGAAAATTAAATAATTGACAAATTAGTAATAGAAAATGGTTAGTTCTAAACATGTAGATAAAATATATTATTTTTTGTTGTAAAATATTTAAGAAAAATAACGTTAAATGTTTGTTGGCAAATTATGGATTTAAAGACTTGAACAACATGAAAATAGTATTGAACATATAACATATATGAATACTTGGAATGAATTAAAAATAAGATTAAATAAAAATCAAACAATGGATAAAGATATTCAAAAAGAAATTAGAAAAAAAAATGAAGCGCTGGAGACAAATTTTAATTAGAATAATTTTTGTTGTAAAATATCTTTTTAAATATAATTTAGCTTTTCGGTGTTCAAATGAAAAACTTTATCAATAATAGCAATTTCTTAGGAATAATTGACACTACAAAAAAAAAACTCTTGAATTCCCTCGCAAAACCCATTAGCAAGGGAATTTGCGAAGGAATAAACATCATCGCCATACAACTGCTTGCTAATTTGGATCCGAGGAAAATTCCCCCGCAAAAGTTTGCAAAGGAATTTGCGATGGAACAATTCCCTCGAAAATGTTTGCGAGGGAATTTTGTGAGTGTATAGTCCTTCGCAAATATATAACTATTTTTTTTACGATGGAATTTCTTACCCTGCAAAATTCTTTTTTTGTTGATTAAAAATTTGTAAGGGGATTCATTTCCTTCGCAAAAATCCATCACAAATTATTTTACAAATTTCTATGAATAATTCATTTTGATAGCACACAAGTCCCAAACAATTACAAAAAAATATGGATTCATTTTGAATTCATATACCTGTCCCAAACAATTACAAACTAATAATATAAATTTATTTTAAATTTATACACCTGTCTCAAACAAGTACAAACTAACAATATAAGAAGTCATTTCAACAATTTAAATAGTAACACACCGTGCAATAAGAAAAAACTCTATCTCCAATAATATACGATAATATAAAATAAAGCAATCATTCCATCAATTCAGAAAATGCCGAAAGTAAACAAAATAAAAGCAAATATATATCGCATGACCAAGGGAGCACCGGTATCGCCGTCCAGGTCACGAAGGTCTAAGTGAGCCTGAATCTTCTGCAACTGTTCCATGATGGTCATATTCTGTTCCTTCAGAATCCTTTGCTCCTTATCTATTCTCATTATACATTCCCTGTCTGTAGGTTCAGCTGGTACTGAATGACGATCGCTCAGTAAACAACGTTGAAGCCAACGACCCCAACCCGAATATATGCTTTTTCTAATCAAGCCCTTTCCACGCATCGAGCACCGCAATGGGAATGATCTTGTGTGCAGTTTTATCCCGCCCATCTCGAATATCGCTTATCCACTTGTTATAGGCCTTTTGTGCCCTAGTACTAGGATTTCCTTGTGAGCAGGATCCCATACCTGATGTACTTCTGCATTGATTAGAATACATAATACAAAAATGTAATCACTACTTAATAAAATTATCTATCCCAATAATGAAATTCATATCTCGAATACCGTTTTGCATTCTATTGTACATCCAAGACGAAGTGGCAGTATTCATGCAAAAACTAAAAAAAATTTCAAAAAGATATAATACAACCATTATAAACAGAAGTTAAAATAAATTAAAACCACTTTAACTATTAAAACAAATTGAAAAAATATTATGCAAGTGAAATTCGTAATAAAGAATAATTATTTATATTCAATGAAAGATAAACATACACAGTTGTGTTGAAAAGATCAGTAAGAATTTATAAATAATGAGTTTATTGTTACGAGAGAAAAAACTAAGCAATTAAAATTTCACGAAACAATGGAAAATCTCCCATTTGAATGCAATTAAAGTGAAGAACACCTTGCATAGATAACTTGAGCAGCAATCACACTGACACATGGAACATTATCAAGGAAAAAAAGAACAAGCTATTATACCACATATACCAGTTTTCTCACTATAGGTAATGAAATCATCGCATGCTTCCATCAGGTTAGTATGTATGTGTTCCAATTAAACTAGTCACGTGACACAATAAGGTGCTTCATAGATTAGCTTGTGACAAAGGAGAACACAAAAATAACTTAGAACAAATAAATATCATTATGAGTTTCAACAAGAAGCATGGATTAACCTTCTTACAGTAAGATACAATGTGACTATTGTTGTTTACTAAAAGTTACAGAATAAGGATCATATTTCCATTGGAATAAGTACAACACACTGGTTTCATAGAATGCAATCATAGCAAAATAAATGAAAAAAAAATAAAGTGCCTAACAAACTTATGTTTAACCCTACAGTTAATACTATCATAAACATACTGAACTAAAAAACAATGAATAGCATACCCGAGTGAGATAAGAAACTGTTTCTGACCATTATTTTAACAGCGCTATCCACAAAAAATCTATTTTTAAGGGCTTAAAGCAAATTAAAAACCAGAGGACATATCACAAAATTACTCAAATATTATTGGGAAAAAAACAAAATGAATCAAATCTTAAACAAATAGAAAGGAGCAAGACCAGAGAAATTTCACATAAAATGATATTATTGGAATCAATAGTTAAGATAACTGAATTTGCCAGATGTTCTGCTCTGCTATTGCTGCAGTACAAACTTAAGTTGTGTAATTAATTAATTAATCAATCAATCAGAGGTATTATTACAACAATTCATTATCAACTACTACTACAGGTTCAATTACAAGATAGATGGACCTGGAGGGATTGAGGGAGAATGGCATGACATGCCTAATGATATGAATGAATACCTATTTCTCAAACTATTGCTATTGCATAATAAAAAGATATTTGTGGCATGTGGGTGAATGATTGAATATAGGTGTCCTAATTTACCTAAATAGTTAACAGTAATTTGACTGTATTTTAAATACTATAGGATATAAATTGTCCCATTGAAATCTTGTAAGTAGAGCTGATTGATTGATACTACATGAGTATTTTTTTAAGCACAGCAAGCAAGCCAGTCAGCAAGCAAGCCAGTCAGCACATCAATATCCATCTCAATTCATGATCAAATTTATAGAGTGTTGCACATATATCCACAAATAAATATATTAAAAGAAAACAATAACAAGATAAAAATGAAGTGACCAACTTTTAATTTGACGTACTTCATTAAACACAAATTTATTTTTTATTAAACCCTGTATTCATTCCCCTCATATCATATTCATATTTCGCAATCACCAATATCAATTTTAATAATTAGTATAATGATAAAATTGAGTTTCAGTATTCCATTAAATGTAAAAGTAGTTTTATAATTGGATGATAATTTCTCTTTTGTGCTGCAAAATATTGAAAGCGGTATTAAATTAGAAACGTGTGATAAGAGGTTTGTAATCTATGAACATAATTATTCAAAAGTGTGTAGTTGTAAAGTAAAGACTATAACTAAACTAACCACAAAATAAATATAGTTTTAGAGACCATCACCTACTCAGGAATGCTGAGGATCCCCACCACTATAGCTAAGGATGAACTCTGCGAAACCGTCGAAAACACCAGAACAGAGATGGACCTTCAAGACTATGTTAATCATCATATCGGCAACTGGCATCTAGAGGAATAAGTGGCAGCAAAAAGAAAAGGCTCAGAATCGTCTTAGCCTTTTAGTTATGTAAAACACCAACACTAACTACCAAGGCCAATAACTAAGAGAGTCAAATAGCAAAATACTTTATCAACAATGCTTCATTACTTGGAAATTCGCATAAACCTTATCAATCGCTTCCCAAATTCATGGAAGTACACAAAATTAGAACTCTCCCTCATGTACCAAAACACGTGCCATGGAGAAAAAAAAAAAGAATGCATATCAAAAATCCGAAACAACACTCCGCTCACAAATCTAAGTTTCTCAAAAAATACAATCAGTCACCACACTCCTATTCTATATCAAATATAACAAAGTAAATAAAAAAAAACTGGAAAAATAAAATTAAATTAAAGTATCTTTAAAATTGACCATTGCAGTAGCAAAGTTGTAATAATTAAACATAAAAATGGTATTTGCATAAAAACAGATTGTCAGATTGTAGGTAACGCAGCGCAGAGCTTCATGGAGGGACAACTTCTTGATAAATTCGTCCACAATGGGGTGTTGATCGTACTCTGTACAATATTCAAGGAGTGTCACGATGTTAGGGTGCCTCAAGGGCGATTCATTGCGGATCACATCCAAAAACTGTTATTCTTCAATGATGGACAGAGGAACTGTTCTAATGTTCTTTACTGCTAAGACCTGTCAAAAAGTGAAGTATATGATCAAGGACATCCCCTCCTCACAATTTAAGTATTTGAATTAAAAAAATTTATTTTGTGTCATGTCATGATGATACCATGCCATCAGGAAACTCTGCCTGTAAACAGAACCAAGGGATCCCTCACCGATAAGATGTTCTTCGCTAAAACTATTTATAGCAATTTGAAGCTCTGCCACAATATATACTTTGGCATCTATCAGCACTCTATTCTTGGTGAAAATTTTTTTTTGAGATATCCGTATTGTTCTAGTCCAACAGAACATCTTTACTTGACCATTGCAGCAGAAAAGCTGTAATCATTTAACTTAAAAATAGTCTTTGCGCAAAAATAGATTTTCAGATTTCTATATCAAATACAATTGGACTAATATATATTTATATATATACACGTATTAGGGCAGCTGTAGTTTTGTTCCATAAAAATACACACTTAGGTTTGAGTTGAGAGTGATATAAACCATAAGTTATGGAAAGAGTTGAGAAATGCCAAAGAGAAACAAACTTCATTTGAATTCTCTTCACCTTGCAAATATTATTGATTGATTGTCATTGGGTAGGTTGGGGTCTGAGAGAACAAAGCCAAAATGAATATTTTCATTGCTTCCTACCTCCATCATCCAATCCAAAATGAAACCCCCATTTATTATTACTACTACCCACCATAGTGGGGGAGCCCAGCCAAAACATCTATTTGCTCTGATATTTCTCACCCTATTTCTTGTTATCCATTCAAATTCAAGTACAAATGTTGGATCTTTAATTATGTTATTTGTGGAGTTGCTAGAAATATTCGAGGAATGGTCATTTAATGATATAAACATATGTATGAAAAACAGTAGAACATATAGCTCTACTACTTAAGTATGCCTGTAGATGAAATAAAATCTAAGTATGAGAAGGTGATCCAATTCCTAGAAAAAAGTATGCTTCTGACTTACGAAATTCATACCCATACGTATAGAACCTTTCCACTGCAGTACACAAAAGAGAATGCTCAAAACAAATTATTTCCAAAATTATGTTTCTGACTTATGAAATACATACCCATATACATAGAAGCTTACAGATAAGCCCTTACAACTCCCTCCAATTCCAAAAAACACCAAAAGTTACTATCGTATAAACTATCGGAGAACTTACCCGAATTCACGCTGTTGTCGAGCTTCAGCCATCGCCGTCACTGCTGAAGAGATAAGCGCAGTTTCTGTTGCCACCGAGAAGGGAATCACAGTCGTCGTCACTATCGCTGCCAAGAAGAGAATCAAAATCGCCGTCGAGGAAAGATTTGCAAATCACTACGTCAAATTGGGGGAATAAAACGGGGGTAGGGTTTGATTTAAATTAGAATTTTGAGAAAGAAATATAAATCTTTGTCAAATTCCTTCGCTAATAGTAAGTAATTTAGAGCAAAACTATTTTATTCTTGGGAAGGAAAAAACTTTTACAAAAATTCATAGCAAATTAACTACTTTTTGTAGTGTTGCGAAAGAATAAAAATCCATCACAAAAATCCTTGGCAAACTACTATTTTCTTGTAGTGCAAAATGATTGCCGAATTTGATATAGTTATGCAAGATCATATTAGGGATATTCAAAATAATAAAATTCATTATCATTCTTTTGGTAACAAAATTCAAAATGAACTAATTTTTTTATTGGCTCATAGTTTTAAGAAGTTCAATTATAAAAATTATTAAATACTCAAAATATTTTTCAATAATTCTTTATTTTACTTGAATTAGTCACCAAGAACAGATGACTTTAATTATCGCGTTGTATAGATATGTCAAGTAGTAAAATTAAAGTCGAAGAATACTTTTTATCATTTTTGCAAGTAGAAGATACAAGTGGTTTAGGACTTTCTAAAGAATTGAAAAATGCAATTGAACACCTTGATCATAATATTGATAATATAAAGGGTCAAAGTTATGATAATGGATCTAATATGAAATGTAAACACCAAGGAGTTCAAAAAAGATTACTTGATATAAATGCTAAAGCATTATATATGTCATGTGCTTGTCATATTATTATATATGTCATGTGCTTGTCATAGTCTTAATCTTACACTTTGTTATATGACACATTCTTGTACAAAAGCAGTATTATTTTTTGGAATTGTGCAACATATATATACATTATTTTCAAGCTCGACAAAAAGATGAAAATTTTTGCTCGATAATATTTCAAATTTTACTTTAAAATCTTTGTCAAACTTATTAGATTTCAAACTCCTCAAATTAGATTAGCTTTGTTAGATTTAATTAATTCATGTGATAAAAGTGAAACTGAAAGTTTGATTGGTTCACTTGAATCCTATGAATTTTTACTTGGTATAATTATTTGATATGATATTTTATTTGTTATTAATAATCACTACCAAAAAAGAACTTTTTGTAGCGGTAAAAAATCCGTAACGAAAACCCATTTTTTGTGCAAAATAGCATTTTGTGTCAACTTTGTTGCGGATTTTGACCGCTACGAAAAATAGCGGTACAAAATGTCTATGTTGCAACAAATTCCATAACAAATAAGTGGCGGTCAACCCTCAAAATAAGCACATGTTTATTGTATTTGTTGTGTTTTTTGTACGTAACGAAAGCATCAATTATGTTTTTGGAACAACATATGTCCGTAACAAAAAATTCGGAACAAAAGTTAAATCCTGTCAGAGAACTATTTGTTAGGACATATTTTCGAAAAACAAAATACGGTACAAATACGGAATCTTGTCAGAAAACTTTTTGTTGCAATCTTCGTCCGTAACAAAAAATTGCGTTACAAAGGTAGTATCCTGTCAGAGTACTATTTGTTACGAAACTTTTCCTCAACAAAAAGTTCGGTACAAATGTAATGCAAACGTAAAATATTTTTTGTACCGGCCATTTTCCGTAATGAAAAATCTGCTACAAAAGGTGTCCATGTCTCAAATAAGGATTTTGTCTCCACGAATAAAATCCAATTGTTAAATTTGTTATTGATCAATTTGAATCACAAATAATTTAAAACATAATATTATCATAATTAATCTGAAATCCTTGTTCATATCTGAACAATGACATCAATCTAACAACATTCATATTCGTGTTAAAAATAGAATACTAGACGTTAACAGTACTTTAAAACATCTTCAAAAATCACCATGCCATACACCATAACAACCAACTAACAACTTGCTAACACTTGATCCCAAAATCCAAAAGTAATATATGAATAAATAAATATGGTATCAAACTGCAGTACAATCCTAAGGTCGACTAACAAATACAACTATGAACGACCAAGCTCATCGAGTGCAAAATCACAGATAAAGCAATCAGAGGCGGTCAACCAACTGCAATGTGTTTCCAATGATATATAAGAATTACATCAGCAACTAAAGTAATTTAATTCCCAAAAGAATAAACATTTTAAAAAAAAAAAATTGTACAACCTTGTAAGTGCACTTGATGTTTTCTTCATCGAGTACCTCATCGAGCATTTTCACTCCGGCATTACATGGGAGAATAAGTACGGTCTCCGAGACTATAACAGCGGTAACAAATGTCTTGACAATGGTTAGGGTATCACCTATATAAAAAGGTAAAACCAAAGCTAATATTAGGAAATATGATATCTCTAAACAACATGAATTAATATAATAAAATATATAAATATATCAAGAAAATGGTAGTAATGGAAACTTTATAATAAAATAAAAATTATCCTTCAGTTTGATCTGTCGACACTATCTTAAATATGAATATAGCAATGTCTACAACCGAAAGCACTAGTCAAGAAGTCTGACCACCAAACATTAGGAAGATAAACCACACAACAATAAACTACGAAACAACTCTCCCAACACTGACAAACCAACATTTATAAACTACCACAATCTTATGATGTTAATTTTGTCCCTCTCTTGAGTCTTTAGTGTTTTCTACTAAGCCAAACAACATGTTTGATCAAAATTTAAACTAAAGTTGCCAGGAGCAAAAGTTATTATACTAGTACTGTAAATTATCACCATTATTAAGTTACGCCAAATAATAAAATAAATATCCATGAACAGCCCTATACTAATATAAATAAAAACAAGACTAATCTATCTAGCAAAATAATTAATCATTGAGCACTTATCGTATTAAACAAACAACAACAACAAAGATAATCAATATTGCAGTAACAAAAATTGCAATTTAACAATTAATGGCAACATGTTGATTTAGACTAACTTTAGTCAATTAACAATATAGTAGTTACATAATTACGCCTATTTTAATAAATATAATCACGTAGGCAACAACCTCCAGCAATAATATGTATTGAACCAGTCTGCAGCTAAAACTGCTCTATCTTTCTCTAATCTTCATCATCTCTTTCCCACTTAAGTTGAACTGAGCCTAACCCAAATAAACCAAAATCTATTGCACACAGCAAAGCAAGCAATCAGAAACCCTACCTCTGTGGTTAGTAGTTACTAACCCTTTAAATACACCATCATCATAATATATATTCTTGAAATAGCTATTCATTAGGACAACCTTATCTAACAATCTATGTATAAATATTGCAGACTGCAGGTGATGCGGCATAGATAAGTTTCACAGTGGCATATGTTGTGGAGTACAAAGGTTTTCTTGTTGATAGGACCAAGACTGGCGGTTGGCTGATAATTCGATTCAATAAGTTACTTCAACCCCAACCTAGCTTTGACATTGGATAGATAGATAGATATTGATAATATTTATATCACTTTTGTGTATAACAGTAGAAAGAAAGAAACTGATCACCACTTGCAATTCTCCTCTGCACTTTGAAGTGGGATGAATATTCACATATAAATCTATAAATATGGTGGGACCAAACCCAAAAGAAAATCACATTCCATTTTGATTGATATTTTATTTTGTTGGCGACCATGATTAAGACATATATCTAGATAGCTAAAAAAAAAATTGCTACCAATGTATCATTTATTATTAAGGTACTAGAGAAAACACTGAATATAAATTTTGAAGATTAATTAATTTCAATAATCACATTATTACTTGAAAAAAAATACTACTATCTATATATTTTATGAAACCATAAATTTTTCAACAATTAAACCGAATCTAATAGTACCAGGGGTAAAAAAAAATAAAGTTTTCAACAATTAAACCGAATCTAATAGTGCCAGGGTAAAAAAAATAGATCAATTAGACAATCAAGCAGTCAAAGACTAGAGGGGTTATCCTAAATAGATTAATACTTCCCCTCCAAGTGTACGGCATACGAGAATTTGAAATTTCCACAATCAAAACTTATCTAGACTTAAAACACACACACACAAAACAATTATTAAGATATCAATGTCACAAGCAGAAAATTTTCAATAAATAGAAACAATTTTATTCAAATGGAAAATATACCTTCCCCAGAACCTTTGATTTCTCCATAACTTTGACAACTTCACCAACATAAGATCCAAGTTCCTGAAGTAATTGCAACTTTTCCTTTAATGATCTCATTGAACATCAAACACACAAAAACACGCACACACACATATATATATATGTATTAATTAATTTTTTGTGTATTTTCAAGCATATATTTGCTATTATACAATCCACAATAATTTCTTTTTACCTCAAAATAAAATAAAATAAAAATGGTGGCTATGTCTTCATCAACCTAACAACCTTCTTATTTAACTTTGAAGATCACACTGTTCCAAAAAGTGATCAATCAAAGAACAACTTTAAACTTCATGCCCAAACCAAATGATAAAATAGCAAAATTCGACCATACGCCACTATTTCATAGATTGCATTCAAATACAGAACAATATTAACCAAACCTACACCTTCAATTCATAATACTTTACGTTTAATCAATTGTGGTTTATGTTTTTTCTGAAGAACACAGTAACTTAGTTTCATGTAATGCCAAAATAAAATGAACTTCTAGCATAAATAATATTACCACTAAAATAAAATAAAAGCATAGAATAATATTCTGCATTTACAAATATATTTATAGCAGTTGATATCAATATATTGAGAAATGCATTCAAGAGCAAAGAAAATGAAAGACAATTTCCAAAATTACATAAATAATTCGGGTCCGATTAGATCATTGTCTTATTAAAGCAACATACCATATATATTCCAGGGAAATCTAGAGCTTCATCCAACGGTTAACAAAATTCTTCACAAGATTTGGAGATCCGAAACATCTTTGCACCTTGATGAATTGAACCAACATTAAGCAAAGTTTTCAAGTTAAAGCCAATAAGTGTAAGCAAATGGAATTTATAAGTACCAATAATAAAGAATAGAAAAGAAAGAAATGAGAAAATGTAAGTATGGTTCACCTATAGTATAATTCCGCCGAGCAAATCCAATATATCAATTCATCGGGCTCTATTAGAAATAAACTAAGTGACCAAAATTATGTAATGCATGATCCAACAACAGTAAAAGTGTGTATATGTCAGAAATGAAATTCAATAAAACTCTTATCGTATCAACTTGAGAGCTCAAAATTTTTACCTTCCCTATACAAAATTATATCTTATTTCCAACTTCATCTAAGCATGTTCCAGGGAGTAATCCAAATAATGAACCCAAATAATTTTTCCGACTAAAAATAGCTAATGAAAGCACAAATAAGCTCCTATCCAAAAGAAAACACAAATTATATGAAAGAAACACAAAATAATTTCTACTATATAATTGCTTCATATTCCTCGGAGTAGATTGTCATAAACAAGCACACAAGTGAGAAGGTATTGACCGTTTGTGTATGCTAATTACTTCCTTAAGCAAAAGTAAAAATCATTTATCAAACCCTAACCTAACTACTTCCACATTTCTACTTTTTCCGTTACTAATAATATTAGAGACGGAATAAGGGATGAAATTATGTTAGCTACGTGAACTTTAAGGACGGAATTCCGTTACAAATATACTATCTTTTTTGTAGCGAAATTATCATAACAAAAGAAAAAAAAGGTTGACCATCAAAATTTTTTTTGTCTCGACATAACTCATAACAAAAACCAATTTTTGTGACACAATTATTGTTACGGAATATTAGTTCGCTTCAAAAGCTCAATTTTTTGGTAGTGGTGTGAGTAAAAAATTATAATCTGAATTTGTAAGTATTAAAAAATATAGAAATGGAAGTTTTTTAATAGTATGCATGTTGCAAACAAAATTATTTTAATTATGGATATGAAATGCGTATATCTAACTAAATGTCATATTTTTAAAAAAAGAAAATTTGATTATAGTGATCAAAATGAACAAGTACAATCAGAAGAAGAAAATTTTAAAATAAATTATTTTTTAGTTGTAGTAGATATGGCTGTTACATCATTAAATGATAGTTTCATGCAATTGAAAATGTTTAATAGCATATTTAGTTTTTTTTATTTAATTCACAAAAATTAAAATCTTTAGACAATAAGGATTCAAAGAGAATGTTGTACTGTTTTATCAACTACTTTTTCTCATAATGATGTTTCTGATATTGACCTAGAAGAAATGATTGTTGAATTAGAAGTTCTACAAATGATTTTACCTGATAACTTAATGTCACCGATTGAAATTCTTGAATGGATGGGAGCGGCTGTAATAGCTAGAAATCGCATGCGTTTTATGTTCATATCATATATGATCTTTGAGTGATTTTAATTGGACTCTACCTAATTTATATGCGTATTGCTTATTTGCTGTGTGCAGAGGGCAAATATCAAATTTGGCGTAATTGGCAGAAAAAGTAAAGAAAAATTCAGATTTACACCACCTAGTTAGTCATTGCCACGACTAACTATACCTCATGACATGAGAATTTAATTAAAGGCCCAAAATCTCAATTACAGAATAATTATGGCAAAAATTAAATAAATATAGAAGATCACACCCAGAGAGAATAGGGGAGGACGGCCAGAGAGAAAATACGCACAGGAGCAGGAGACTGACAAATTCATAGATCGCGCAAAAGCAAATCGACAGAGAAGAATTCCCTTGGACTATGACTTTATCTTTCTATATTTTTCTTTTCTATTTGATTATGGAGTAAATATCTTTCTGGTTTGAGGGATGATAATGTTTTGGTTCTTATGTTTCGGAGATTCTTGACTTTCTTTATAAAAGTTCTTTTTAATTATCAATATTTGTCTAATTCTGAAAATAATGTTTGTGATTGTTAGATTGATTGCATATTTTGGTACCGATATTTAAATTAGTCTGATAATCTAAAGTCAATTCAGGTAGGATATCCGTAATTATATTTGCACTTGAATAGGTGACAATCGAGTTGAATAGTTCCTTCCTAGGGGTTAGACAATCGAATCTAATTGCTCATCTTAGGTAGTAATTGTTTTGAATTGGATTTTTCTAGATTAGAACGCAATTAGGCAGTATTTCTTATGAGTGCACCTAGGTTTATTAGCTTAATTAGGGATAGTTAACGGTCGTACCTTAATTACCTACACTGTAAGGAAAAATTGGTTATCAGAACTTGTTGATAACTATAACCAATTTATTGATATTTTAATAAGAAGAAACTTTATTGATTCAATGATAAAACACAAGTGTCATAACTGCATCATCCGTTGAGCCAGACATCCCATTAATAGCTAGTTCTCCCTTAATTTAATTGCTTTCTTATTTTATTTTCATTAGATAATAAAAGAAAATTTTCCCCTTTTATTTACTGTATTAGAACGCGAAAGAGTGAATCACACAATCCCCGTGGAGATGATCTCTTCCCCTGTATTACATTAAATTGTGATCACGGAATAGGTGAAATATTTGATTGACTGCGCGACAGGTCAGGCTGATTGTTATCCTAATGTTTCTATAACCTATCGTATTTTATTAACTGTACCAGTAACAGTAGCATCAGCCGAAAGAAGTTTTTCAAAATCAAAATTATTGAAAACTTATTTAAGACTGTGTATCTCTTAAGAACGATTAAATGGTTTGGCTATGTTGTGTATTGAAAATGAAATATTAGAAAAAATTAATATTAATACTATTATCGATGAATTTACATCTAAAAGTGCTAGAAGAAATTATTTTATTTAATTATTTATATTTTTATTATTAAAAAAATTATTGTGATATATTTTATTGTTGGGGGCCCATAATTTGAATTTCGCCCTAGGCCTATGAAACCTCAAGAACGGGATTGGTGGTCAACATAATTTAACTACATTACAAAATATCTCTAGGGATAAATTGTACAACCATCCCACCAGTGCACAACGGTTATAACGGGGAACAAAATGTGATGTTACTACAGACAACACAACATTTATATTAATGTATATGTTATCACTCAAAATATTTTTTAGTAGCTTATCAAAGTGAGCCGACCGAAATTCGGATGGATTCTCCTACTTTCTCAAGAAAAGATCTGGAACTATGGTCGGAACATTAATAAAAAAAAAAAAGAACGGAATCAAGAAGGCTAGGAAAATTAAAGATGAAAATAATAAAAAAGAAATTAATTCAAAGCAAGAAAACAAAGGCAGAGAAAAGAAAAAGAGAAATTAAATTGAAGAGAAAGTAAGGATGATGTATGTGTCATGTATGGAAATCACAAGGAAATCAAATAACATAAAGAAAGAAATAAAGAAAAACTAAAATAAAAAGCTATATTTTTCTAGAATTGATCCGCCCCTCTATTCTGCTCCAGCGGCTGCTATTTTATTTTTGGCTAAAGTGTAGACTAGCAATCATGTCTTATCTGTACCAAATTCTATTGTTTTTGTTTAACCAGATAATCTATATCTAAATCTCAATCCAATCTAGTTTTTCCCAACTGATTCGGTTATCAATTAACTTTATCCCAAAAGTAATTTTGGGATAAAAAAATGCCTACACAAAAGTATCAATCATATAGAAAGTTTAGATTTCTAGAATGATCGATGCTTTTAGTAAATATTTTGGACCGAATCGCTTTTAGGATAACGAAATGCCTTGGTATGGGAGAATTCGATCGAGGTTCTTATTTGAAGCAATAATATCCAAGCTAGCTTTGGAATAACCATCGCCTTTGAGAACACGGCAATTTGGTTCCCCTACCTCGCTCGCCACCTAGGCCACCTGCCTCCACCCCTCTCAATGCCTTTTTCTGAGAGCGGGATAATTGTTGGCCACTGTTGGGTGATCAATTGATTTTCCAACTATCATATGTCGGGAATTTCTCAAATTGGCGCATCAGATATGAAGTGATTACAACTGGAGCCAAACTGTTCCACACCGAGACACTCTATGGGGATTGGCATGTCTTTTCCAGGCGTTCAAAAATAGGTCTCTGCTGAACCAGGGGTTTGCGAATTTCCTTCCATTTTCGGCAGGTGGACACTTTTTTTCGGGATGGACATTGATCATGTTAAGATATTTTAGATATTCACTTTTAGATTTAGTAGATTTATATTTAGATTTGGTCTTATCCATAGATTAGATTACTTTGATTTAAGTCTATCGAGTCTGTTTTGTATTGCCTATATATAGGCCCCCATTTTGATGATCAATATGACAATTTTATTTTTTTCCCCAAAAATTTCTAACATGGTATCAAAGCCTATTTTTCTCATGCCGTAAATATAGCCTACAAACCCATGTTTCTCCGGGTATATTCAACTTGGATTGTACCCGGAGGTCTTGTGATTTTGAGATAATGCCTTTGCAAGTCTGTCTTTTTGCAAATCTGTCTCGTCTGCGATCTGTCATCTATCTGCTCTGTCCGTTCCCGCGTGCAATCTGAAATTTGTCTGCGATCTGCATATGAAATCTATCTGCGATCTTTCTGCTATCTACCATATGTCCACTGTCTGTCTGTTGCCTGCGTGCGATCTACCATCTATCGTTGCCTGTCTGTTGCCTGCGTGCGATCTGTTTGGTGTTGCGATCTATCTGTTTTCGGCTCCGGTAGAGAGTTATCTCGTTTTCGGCTCCGGTGGAGAGCCATCTTGTTTTCAGCTCCGGTGGAGAGTCATCTCGTTTTCGGCTTCAGTGGAGTCATGTTGTTTTTGGCTCCGGTGGAGTCATCTCGTTTTCGACTCCGGTGAAGTCATGTGGTTTTAAGTTCCGGTGGAGTCATGTGATTTTTGGCTCCGATGGACCATCTCGTTTTTTGCTCCAATGGAGTCATCTCGTTTTCGGCTCCGGTGGAGTCATGTCATTTTTTTGCTCCGTAGGAGTCATATGGTTTTCGGCTGCGGTGGAGTCATCTCGTTTTCGACCATCTCG